CTGCAGCAGCAGCTGTTGCTGAATCTGCTGCTGTTGTAGCAGCAGCTGCAGCTTCGCCAGCTGTAGCGGGGGAAACACCACCAGCACCAGCAGCACCACCACTGCCACCTGCTGCTGCTGCTGCTGCTGCTGCAGCAGCAGCAGCAGCACGATGAGGGTGGGTATAGCCAAAGGCCCTCTCTGCTAAGAAACCAACAAAAGGAGCACCTAATATAGCAGCACCAACAGACTCTGTTGTAGATACCTGAAGAAATAGCAGCAGCAGCAGCAGCAGCAGCAGGAAAATGCATGCAACAACAGCAGCAACAGCAAAAAGAAGTGCATGCAACAATAGAAGCACCAGCAAAAAAAACGAGCGCATGCAAAAACATCCCTGTTTCAGTGAACATTTATAAAAATTAGGGTTTAGGGTTTAGGGTTTAGGGTTTAGGGTTTAGGGTTTACGAGGCTGAATACAGTAGCTCTATGGTCAGGTAGTACGATCTCTGTAAGGACCGGCCTATTAACCCCAATGCCTGGCCATCCAGCTAGTAGGCCAATAGCAGCAGAGAGGAAAAGAAAAGAAGGAAGACTACTAGGACTTCTATCTGTACATCTTAGCAGCAGCAGCAGCAAGAAGCAGCGCAACAAAATAGCTGTCTGTGCTACTGCTGCTCTACCATGATTTGGATACTTTTTATGTATTATATCTGTTACTGCACCAGAAAAAAGGGAAACAAACATTGAAGAAAATAAAGAAATAGATACAACTAATGAGGATAATACATCCCCTAATCCGCATGTCTGTAGCCACATTGGCATAAACCCTAGTGCACTACGAGGTACGCCATTCAATACACCCTGAATACAACAAAAAAAAAAAAAAACACACAAAACCCTAAACCCTAAACCCTAAACCCTAAACCCTAAACCCTAATTTCAAAAAATTGGAAAAAAAAATTCAAATGTATAAATCACTCAGAGGAAACGAAAAAAAAAATTTGAAATTTTTTTTTGTGATGGACATGAAAATTCATAAACCCTAAACCCTAAACCCTAAACCCTAAACCCTAAACCCTAAACCCTTATTTTTTTTTTTTTACCATAATAAGCATTATCCAGAAACTTTTATTTTTTAATATATAACGAAATTCTTTTAAACTTTTTGCGAGTTTAGATAGACGAGGTATTGCGTCAAAGTCTGCAAAAGACCATTCCCGCTGCCGCTGCTGCTGCTGCTGCTGCTGCTGCTGCAGGTACTCTCTTTCTCCTAATAATTTATGACATAATATACCAAAGCCAATACTCAATATACCTAAACATGCCAATGCTACACGCCAACCCTGAACACAAAAAACGCATGCAGCCCCATTACTGCTGCTGTTGCTGCTGCTGCTGCTGTTGTTGCTGCTGCTGTTGCTGTGTTATTGTGTAGACAGCAGCAACAAAAAGAGAAGCATATAAAAGGACGCAGCAAATCAACAGCAGCAAGAGCAGCAACAAACTATTCAGAGTAAGCACTACAGCAGCAGCAGCAGCAGCAGCAGCAGCAGCAAATAATAATAATAATAAAATAATAAAGAAAAAAGATTATTATAAGGAGAAAAGAAGAACGGTAAAAAACCCCCATCCCTCCCCACAAACAGCAAAGACATAAAATAAATAAATAAATAAATAAATAAATAAATAAATAAATAAATAAATAAATAAATAAATGAATTACCTTAATACCTATAATAAGAATAGTAGATGTAGAGGTAATAGTGAATAAAGAAATCATTCTTCCTAAACTTTGGCAAAAAGAAAGAGTACCGAATGCTGCTCCTGCTGCTCCTGCTGCAGCAGCAGCAGCAAGTAGCTTCTGTGTAAGGGGCCCCATTGCTGCTGCTGCAGCACCAAGGAAGAAAAGAAGAATAAATAATTGATAAGAATAATAGATAGTACTTAATAAGGATATACATATACCTAAGAAAAAAATATTAATAAATAATATAAATAATATATAATAATAATAATAATCAACAAAAAAGCCCCAAAATGGGCATGCAAATGCATGCGCTAATTTATATATACTTGTTGCTGCTCCTAGGCAAGAAGGAGGCAGCAGCAGCTGCTGCTCTAATGCCTTATATGCAGCAGGAATTGCGTTATCTGCTGCTGCATGCAGGGCCCCATATAACCATGTTATTCTTAATAATTTACTATCTGCTGCTGCTGCACCCCATACTTCTCCCCATACTCTGCTGCATTGCTGCATGCAGCAACTCCTGCTGCACTCCCTTATCCTGCTGCTGCTGCTGTTGCTGCTGCTTGTGGTGGTGCTGGTGGTGGGGTTGTTGCTGTTGTTGTTGTTGTAGTAGTCGTTGCTGTTGTTGCTGCTGTTGCTGTTGTTACTGTCGTGTATTATACGGCAGTAGTCGTTGCTGCTGCTGCTGCTGCTGCTGCTGCTGCTGCTGATTATGTATGGATCTGCTGTAGGGAGACGATCCCCGATCCCACGACGACCAACGGAGAAGAAAGAAGAAGAAGAAGGAGACATTTTATATATTTATATTATTTATTCTCTTCTTTATCTACATATATATATAATAAATATTATTTATTGTTTATTATATTATTTATATTTATATTTATTTTATTTATATTTATTATTTATAATTGTATTATTTATATTTATTTATTTATATATATTGTTCTTCTTTTATTCTTTATTCCTTATTCCTCCTCTCCTGCTGCACAAATTGCTGCATGCAAAGAAAAAGAGGAGAAAAATAAATACAGCGGTGGTAGTAACGCTGTAGAAGAAGAATAATAATATTATAAACAAACACTAAACCCTAAACCCTAAACCCTAATTCCTAAACCCTAGAACCCTCGTGGGCAGGCAGGCATACACGTCTGGCCCCTCTCCAGGGCAACAGACGACTTAAATTAATTGCCATTCATCTTTTATTATAAATAAAAAACAAAAAAAATAAAAAATAATTTATAAATAAGAATAAATACAATATTATATGATGAATGGGGCCCCCCTCTTAGTAAGAAAAGGTATAATGCCCATGAAAATAAAGGATAAATATACTCCTTTGTAGCTTTCTTGCATATTTATTATAAATAAATACAATAAAATTATAAATTAATTTATTTATTTATATTTTAAACAAAGAAAATGCAAGAAAAATATACATAAATGACGCACGCCTCTTCCTTTATTTATATACATATACACTGCACGCCGCTGCGGTGTATATCTGCGCATACACCCGAAGATTGCTTCCCTACAGAGCAGAGAATAAATAAATATAAATATAAATAAACATTTATTTTATTCTTTTTTATTTAATTTTATTTAATTTTATTCAACCTTCTCCTTTATTTAACACCTCAATAACTAAACAAGATGATCTATAAACCCTAAACCCTAAACTATACGGAAGCCATGTAGCCAACGAGGGGCCCCCAAACCCTAAACCCTAACTCCCGTTGGTAACCCTTAACTCTAAACCCCAAACCCTAAATGGAATACTAAACCCTAAACCCTAAACACCAAAGAAAACCCTAAACCCTAAATATATAGGGTTGAACCTTAAAAACATCGTAGGGTTTACAACAAAAGTTATTGCCATATACCCTAAAACCCTAAACCCTAGGGTTTGCTCTAAACCCTAACAGCTAAACCCTAGAACAGACACCGACCCACACATTATGTTTCCTGTGGGTTTTGTGTTGTTTTGTTCAAGGGTTTAGCACGAAGATTCATAATTAGGGTTTTGAGGGGTTTGCCCGAGGGTTTAGGGTTTAGCGACGAGCCTCTAGTGTTACGGCTCTACGCCATCAGCAATTAGGGTTTGTGTCCTTCCCTAGAAGTATTCTATCTTACTATTAGGGTTTAGGACTAGAAGAGGGTTTAGGACGAGGGTTTACGACTAGGGACTAGGGTTTAGGACTAAGACTTACGACTAGGGTTTATAACTAGGGTTTAGGGTTTACAGATAAGCAACAAATAAAAGGGTTTAAAACGACAGTTCAAGTTTAGGGTTTAGGGTTGCTCGTCTCAAGCCTAAACCCTAAACCCTAAACCCTAAACCCTAAACCCTTGGTATACAACAAGCATATTTATTTAGTAGGAGGAATAAACACATCCGTAAACATCGGGCGCGAAGGCCTCATGATGGCGTTCTTGTTATCTTGCCTGCACAAACCCTAAACCCTAAACCCTAAACCCTAAACCCTCGCCTCCCCCATTTATCCCTCAAACCCTCATCCATGGCAACTACCTATAAGGTTACGGTTTAGTGTTAAGCAGATTGTACTCACGTCTAGGGTTTAGGGTTTAGGGTTTAGGGTCGTACCTGTTAACATAATCTCCCCAATTACCCGAGAGGTTATTGGAGGTAAAAGATAAAGAGAAGGCACGAAGGGGCTGAACCAGACAGTCAAACCCTAAACCCTAAACCCTAAACCCTAAATCCCCAACACTAAACCCTAAACCCTAACCCCCCAAACCATAACCCATAAACCCCAAAACCCTAAACGTGAAACCCCTTCACTCCAAACCCCACCCCTTTCAAACTCTAAACCCCAAACCCTAAACCCTAAACCCTAAACCCTAAACCCCTAAACCCCAAACCCTAAACCCTAAACCCTAAACCGTACAAGATCCTGGCTGGGTGCAGGGAAGGTATGCGAATCAGGACAATTCTCTCCATAAGGAAGAAGATCAAACCTCCAAGGGAGAGGAGGAAGAATTCTTATAGGTGTATCTATTTCCTCTTGAGGGTTTTCTGAGGGTTTAGGGTTTTCTGAGGGTTTAGGGTTTTTTGAGGGTTTAGGCTCAAGATATTCACATAATACATTAAAATCTTTTGCTTCTGTTGCTGCAGCAAGTGCAGCAGACCAACAAGACTCTAGTCGCTGCTGCTGCTGCTGCAGCAGCAGCAAACGTTTCTCTCTTTCTTTCTCCTTTGTTGACCAAAACCCTTCCTCATCTAAAACCCTAGCTGCATAGTACTCTAATAAAGATGTCAGATCCTGCAAACAAACCCTAAACCCTAAACCCTAAACCCTAAACCACCGTAGTCATCCTACACACGCAGGGAAACCAATTGGTTATACACAAGAAAAGGAATTAGGGTTTATCTGTCCGAGGGATAAAAACTAATCATTAAATAAAATTAGGGTTTAGGGTTTAGGGTTTAGGGTTTAGAGCTTACAACAATCTTCTGGTAGGTGTCGTTATAATAGCTGGTAATAAACATCGAAGTAGCGAAGAACGAGGAGAGGGCGACGAGTTGCTGAGGCACAAACCCTAAACCCTAAACCCTAAACCCTAAAAGCCTGTATATATTTGCTGCTGGTGTTGGTACTGTTTGGTTCCCTCTCTCTTGATTCGTGTTTAGGGTTTCTGCCTATGAGGTTAGTTTCTTCAATGCCCTATATATCGGGTATTAGGGTTTAGGGTTCTTTTAGGGTTTAGGGTTTAGGGTTTAGGGTTTAGGGTTTACGAGTCTGAGATCTGGATTATGTTTGAGTACGAATTGTCTTGTAGGGTTAATAACAGCCCTTGCTGCATTACCAAGAACAGCAGCAGTTGCTGCTGCTGCTGCCTCTAATTGGGGTCTTATACCCCTAATAAAAAGGAGAAAAAAATTATAATTAGGGTTTTCTCCATAATGGTATTTATCTGGTCTAGAGGGTCCAAATAAATATTCACGAGGTACAGACCAATGAGGTTTTGCAGAACCACCAGACAATAAATATGCAGATAAACGTAATACTCTCATCTTTATCTGTACGTACACCACAAACTTTATATATTTACCGAAAATTATATATTCATATGTTAAAAATTACACAAAAAACGAGGGTTTAGGGTTTAGGGTTTAGGGTTTAGGGTTTGGAGTCTCGGGTTCGTTGACTAATACTAAGAGGAGGAGGAGGAGGCTCGCCAATACAAAAGAAACACTTTGATCCTCTTGTGTGGTAAAGAGGGAGGGGGGAGGAATGGATAACACACGCTGAAATGAGAAAATTAGGGTTAAGGGTTTAGGGTTTAGGGTTTAGGGTTTAGGGTTTATGACGGACCGTTGAGGCTGTTTGCTGCACGGAGATGTCCGGGGGTGGCAGGTCACCCGGGTCTTGTTGTGCCACCTCTCCTTTATTAATGCATAAAAGAATTCAAAAACCCTAAATATTACAATTTAGGGTTTAGGGTTTAGGGTTTAGGGTTTAGGGTTCCTGGCTATGTCTAGACAGCCCCACGACACCAGCCAGCGACGAATGGCGGTAATAGGACCTTTAAAAGAACAGAATATTTTAAATAAAATAAATAAAAACATAAAAATGAATGTAAATATAATTTTTTTATTTATAAATATATTTAATTGGGGTGTATGTACACCTCGTGGCTATTTGCATTAGGTACCACCGGTGTATATATATATAACTAACTACTGCTCTGTTTAATAAATTGTTCCCCTTGTTTTTTATTTATTTTAATTTAAATTAATATTTATTTATTTTATTTAATCCTTCTATTTGTAGACAGCAGAAGAAGACAGCTAAGCCGTTAGGTTGCTCTTGGTTTTTTTTAGGGTTTAGGGTTTTTAGGGTTGAGGGTTTAGGGTTTGTGTGTTATATATGCAACACGCATTTCTTCTAATGCTTTTTTGTATAAATTTATATAAACACTTCTTCTTTCTTCTTTCTTCCTTTTTTTTCTTCTTTCTTTCTTCCTTTTATTCTCCTCTTTAAGTCTTCTGCCTAGTTGCTTCTGAGCATGCGTGTCTTGGGGCTCGAGCTAAACCCTAAACCCTAAACCCTAAAAAGCCTAAACCCTTCGCTCTCAACTGTAGGTACATGGAGGGTTTGCTGATGCCCCCTCGTCTCTTTGCATCTCTTGACCTATAGGAGGGGAGCAACACTCCCTCCTTAAACCCTGTGTTTAGCTAGGGTTTAGCAAGGGTTTACCTAGGGTCTATGTAGGGTTTACGTAGGGTTTAGTCAGGGTTTAGGGTATTCTTCGTTAGTAGGAGTGTTTAGGGTTTATAATAAGAATGCCTCTCCTCCTCCCTCTCCCTTCATCTCTGACTGAGCCTCAAGAGAACTCTCTATTTCAAGGGTTTAGGGTTTAGGTTTTAGGGTTTTTAGGGTTTAGGGTTTAGGGGTTTTAGGGTTTATTGACCGATATATTAGCTGCCTATACACCGTAAACCCTAATTATATTTTATTTGTTGTTCCCCTCCAAGTTTACAATAAAAAATAATTAATAATTTGCGGTGTATGTACACACACCCATGACAAAAATATACAATATATATATAT